TTCCATTTCCAAGGCATTTGATACATTTTCCCTCAGCCAAGAAGTGGATTGCAAAATTCGGAGAGGTTGTGAAACCTGAAATATAATTATGCTGCAATCCATGCATTCATCCATAAGGTGCAAATTAGGTTGGTTCAGCTTTTAAAATGCAGAACAAATGAAATTCTCCTCCACCCCTAAGTGCGACACTCTAATTGAGCACAGGTAATTCAGGAAGCCAAAATCCTGTGAGAAATTCAGATGGGGGGAATTTGGCAAGGATGCCTGATTATTCTGTGTGAAATACTGGTTTTAAAAATGCTGCCTGAAAAATCCATCATAGTGTTCCAATGCTCAGGTTAGGGATAGGTGAATATGTCTGTTTTGGTTTCTTTCAGATTCTCATTTTTCTAATCTTAAGTTCAGTTTTCCACATTTCTACGGAAAGCCCTCTTGAAAATTCATCAGCATTTTAGTGCAAGTTTTTCCTAAAATACACATTTATGTATGTATGTATAGAATGCTTTTCTGCAAGTTATTTCCACTAATGTAAGATCTACATTTGCTCCCAGTACGTTTCTGAGCACAATTCAAAGTGTTGGTGCTGACCTTTAAAGCCCTAAATGGCCTCAGCCCAGTATATCTGAAGGAGCATCTCCACCCCCATTGTTCTACCCAGATACTGAGGTCCAGCACCAAGGGCCTTCTGGCGGTTCCCTCGCTGCGAGCAGCCAAGTTACATGGAACCAGGCAGAGGGCCTTCTCGGTAGTGGCACCCGCCCTGTGGAATGCCCTCCCACCAGATGTCAAAGAGAAGGCAACTACCAGACTTTTAGAAGACATCTGAAGGCAGCCCTGTTTAGGGAAGTTTTTAATGTTTAACAGACCACTGTATTTTAATATTTTGTTGGAAGCCACCCAGAGTGGTTGGGGAAACCCAGCCAGATGGGCGGGGTATAAATAATAAATTGTTGTTGTTGTTGTTGTTGTTGTTGTTGTTGTTGTTGTTGTTGTTGATGTTATGTATTTAAATGCACACTTTGTCCAACCATTTGCTGCCTAATTTCATTGCAAAACCTGCAGAAGTGTGAATTTCGAAAGGCGGTTGTGCTTCAGTTCATGTCTTGTTTCATAAAGGACAAGTTATTTCTCCCACATACCCCAGCTCAAGCACACAACCTGAATGTGAAAAGGGGCAACTGAATTCTACCTCGCAATTTTGAGCGTGGGTAGCAGCAATGTTGTTTATTTACTCCAGCCAATTAGCACACATGATCATACAAAGATCCTTAAAAGTCGCAAAATGCTAGAAATCATTTCCCAGTGATTTGAACAGTCCCATGGAGAAACTTGAAAGACAATCAAATGAGCCAACTACACACTTTAAGCTCTGCAGATATGGTCTCAACAGGCAGCAATTACATTTCGAAGGAAAATGTTTTACAATTGTAATTAGACATAATAGGAGGAATGTATTTTTTCCCTTTATCCTTCTCCCATGGCGAGTCAATTTAATTCTTAAATACAAGAGACATAATTGATTTTAGCCCTAGATTAGTACTGAAAATGATCTATATGCATTCTCGCTAATGGAACAAGAGAATTCACCTTCCTTGGGGACCACAGCCCAGCCCAGTTCACGGCAACAATTATTAGACCCTGACAGGTTAGCTAATAGGGAGGTGGGGGAGAAGGGGAGGATCATATACCCCACAGATTAACAATTTATTGCCATAATTAATGCTGCGTTCTTCCCAGTTAATTATTGGCTGTGTACACAAACTTATTATTGTTGTTATAAAGACCACAAAGGGGAAATGGCAGCGTGGAACCATGACATCAGCTGAGCTGCAAAGGGAGAAGGGCTAAGAATTAGAAGAATGTATGAGCATAAGGAGAGTTTGCAGGATCAGTCCAATGAACCAACTAGTCCTTTTCTCACAGTGGTCAATTGGCTGCATGGGGGGAAACCCCTGAAGCAGGATCCAATCACAAAGCACTCTCTCTTCCTGAGGTTCCTAGCAACAGGCATTCAGAAACTACAGCTTCTCACCATGGAGGCAGAGCATACTCATTATGGTCTGTAGCCATTGATGGGCTTATTCTCCATGAATTTATACAATCCTCTTTTGTAGCCATTCAAGCTGGTGGCTATCACTGTGTCCTGTGGTAGTGGGAGCCATAGCTGAACTACGCACTTTTATCTATCCCCGGGGATGGACTTTGGTAATCTTGGGTAGCACGGCACCCTGAGAAAGGCTAACATCCCCCCCCCAATGGATCTTCTCTGCTATGGATCTTCTCAATTTTGCACCCCTTTGGCTGCGAGGGGGAACCGCCTGCCTGAATCAGGTGCTGTGTCCTGAATCTCTTGACTTTATTGGATGTCCATGAGAGACGGCGAACCTTCAACATGGCCCCTAGGCCAAAAGCAGTGAACCATCCCTCTTCTAACCTGAGGCCAGCTGTACCATTAAGCAGCATGAAAAAGGCAGCACAGTTTTGGCACCATTATTTCCATATGGAGATAGTCAATGTGCTGTACTGGTTAGAAAGATGGACTAGCAGCTGGGAGACCAGGCTTCAAATCTCCACTCAGCCAAGAAGCACTTTGAACCAGTCACTAACTTTCAATCTATCTTATCTCACACGGTTGTTGTGACAATGATATGGAGACTAGAAGACCCATATAGGTAACTTTGAACTCCTTGGAATAAATGTGGGATATAAATGCAGTCCTATATAAATAAATTAAAGCTAAACATTATTACTAACTGGGTTTTTATTTTGCCATTCATCATTTTTTGCTTCCCCACTACTCATAGCCATTCTGTCTTGGGATGGTTCTGGCCCCATCCCATAACACAGAGGCTGACAGCCTGCTCCTTCTCTCCCCCTCCCCATCTCTTCATCCAATGAAGATTTATTTTTTAAAATAAAAATAAAAAATTATCATCAGAACTCTTTGTTGCAAGCCCTGATCAATACGCAGATTGGATATTCCAAACCAGAAACCTCAGAAAAGCTCAGAGAGGGGTAAATAATCACTCAATGTTATTAAAGCAATGGCTGATGGCAGCACTATTCTCCCGTCTTGCAGCTTATTGATTTGTCCTTATAACAATTAGACTCCATTCAATGAAGCAAAGGAGGGAGGAATAGCCAAGCAAAACAGAAACGACAAAAGGAGGGCTGTGCAAGGTAACCCTTAGCTGGCTTTAGAGCTGGCTGGCTGACCAAACCCAAAGAGTTCTCCTTAATGGTTCCTCAAAATTCTGGGGGGAAAGTGGCAAGGTGGGTGCTGCAGGGTTCTGTCCTGGGCCCGGTGTTGTTCAACGTCTTTATAAATGACTTGGGCAAAGGAATTGAGGAGATGCTCATCAGATTTGCAGGTGGCACCAAACAGGGAGGGGTAGCTAATGCTGCAGAAGACACAATCGGGATTCAAGATTGTGACTTTAACATATGAGAGTGCTGGAGGTGAAATAGTTAAACAGGTTACTCAATCCAGGGGGGGTGGAGTCAGAGGGACTATAAAACCAGCTCTAGGAGGGTCAAAGGGAGGAGTTTGTTAAAGAGTTCATTGGGAGTTGGGTGGAGTGGGAGTGAATTGGGATAGAGTCTGTGTGTAGGTTGAGCTGGTGTAGCGAAATAAGCTGAGTCAGGAACAGTTAGAAGCTAGGAAGACAAGTAAATATCTGAGAGGTGGTTTAGTGAGTGAGAGCAGGGAGTGGAAGTTATAGGTCTGGATAGGCACCCCATGATTGTAATTGACCGATATCATTTATGAAACCACACGCTTGTTAAACTGCAATAAATAAACAAAAGTTTATGTTCCAATTTAACCCTGACTGGACTCAGTATTGTACCAGGTAGGGCCTGGGTGGCGGCAGCGAGAACTAAAGTGGTGGCACAGGGATCAATAGATGGTGAAATGTCCAGGGACCCTGTGTGATCGCCACAAAGATGACCTTAACAAATTGGAGAACTGGCCCAAAAATAACAAAAAGAATTTCAGTAGCGACAAATATAAGGTTCTGCACTTAGGGAAGAATAGCCAGCTGCACAAATATAAGATGGGGGAGACCTGGCTTGTCAGTAGTACATGTGAAAAGGATTGAGGGATCTTAGTAGAACCACAAGTTTAACAAGAGTCAACAGTGTGATGCAGCAGCAGCAAAAACAGCTAACGCTATTCTAGGCTGCAGCAACAGAAGTATAGTATCTAGATCAAGGAAAGTAATAGTGCCATTCTATTTTGCCATGGTAAGACCACAACTGCAGTCCTGTGTCCAGTTCTGAATGCCACAATTTAAGAAGAACATGGACAATGTGGAATGTGTGCAAAGGAGAGTGGTCCAGATGATCAAGGGTCTGGAAACCAAGACTTCTGAGGAACAGTTGAGGGAGCTGGATATGTTTGCTTGGAAAAAGAGGAGACTGATAGGAGATACGATAGTCATCTTCAAATATCTAAAGGACTGTCCCATGGAAGAGGGAACAAATTTGTTTTCTCCTATTCTGGAGAGTAGGACTCGAACCAATGGCTTCAAGTTACAAGAAAGGAGATTCCGACTAAACATCAGGATGAACCTTCTGATGGTAAGAGTTGTTCGACAGTGGAATAGACTACCTTGGAAGGTAGGGACTCTTCTTCCTTGCATGTTTCTAAGTGAAGGTTTCTAAGTAGAGGTTGGATGGCCATCTGTCATGGATGCTTTAGTTAAAATCCTGCATCCCAAGGGGGTGGGACTACATGATCCTTGGGCTCAATTAAAGCATACATGATGGATGGCCAACCACGAAAGGAGATTCCACCACCTCTCATAGGTGTATGTTCCACTGTCAAAGGACAAAGAAGTTGAGGAACTACTTGCTACAAAATCCCAACATGAAAAAGGGGGAAATTGTTAATTACCAATCGAATTCATATGTTCACTCCAAAAATATTTTTAAGAAACCAGTTTTTCATCACACACTTGTGTTAAGAAACCCACTCACCTGTTTTTTAACCAAAGTTAGGAAATTGCATTGTGCATAGAAACACTTCAATACCAGGTATATGCAGAGCAGGTGGAGCAACCACCAAATCCAACTCCCAGTTCCCAAAATTTGTTCGTTTTGTTCTCACATAGAGAACATACCAGATATTAAGCTGAAAAACATACTAGATATTAAAACCCCATGCATACATTTCCATATGTCTGAGTGGGATGGTCTGTGGTCTGTACTGATGTTATTGAGAGGAATGGGGGAAGAAAGTTGATTCAGTTCACACTGAAAGACAAACCTACTTAATTCATACTTTTTAAAACAATAAGCGGACTGGAGCACAGCCATCCTTCAAAATCTGATCTTCTTTGAATTTTGCATCACAGTTCTCCAGCCAAATAAAATGAACAGAAATGCATGTACTAGTGTAAAATGTGCATAGAAAATGCTTATGTTAGTGAAATCAACACACAAAGTTGTGTTATATAAGGGGGAACTACTTTGCAATAAAATATTTATTAGGCAAAATTGCACACAAAAAGTGTATTATTGGATGAGATTTGCAATAATGTGTTAACGGGGACTTTAAAAAAAATAAGAAGATAGCTGATAAGGAAATGGGAGAACTTATCTCAAAAAAATGAGAAGATGAGTAAAACCAAAACTGACAGATTTGTCCACTACTAAGACATGTTCAGGGACGCGGGTGGCGCTGTGGGTTAAACAATAGAGCCTATGACTTGCCGATCAGAAGATCGGCGGTTCGAATCCCCGTGATGGGGTGAGCTCCCGTTGCTCGGTCCCTGCTCCTGCCAACCTAGCAGTTCAAAAGCACGTCAAAGTGCAAGTAGATAAATAGGTACTGCTCTGGCAGGTAGGTAAATAGCGTTTCCGTGCGCTACTCTGGTTCACCAGGAGCAGCTTAGTCATGCTGGCCACATGACCCAGAAGCTGTACGCCGGCTCCCTCAGCCAATAAAGTGAGATGAGCACCACAACTCCAGAGTCATCCGCGACTGGACCTAATGGTCAGAGGTCCCTTTACCTTTAAGACATGTTCAAATGAATGCACATCAATGACTGTCAGAATTTGCAGTCATGATTTAAGTCTTATTGCCCACCCACTAAAACACTTGAAAGTACACACAACCCTTTCCATCTGTGAAAGGCAAGAAAGCAAACTGTTCAGTTAACTATATGCACACCTCAGCATTAACCTGCTCTGCTGACGTTCTAAGAGGCAGCTGCGTCCCACATGTCCTTGCAAACAGATTCTTGTGCAATCTTTCCCAAGAAAGCCTAGGGTAGGGGGTGGGGAGGCAGCAGGAGCCCAGCTCACAAGTTCACTTTCTGACACCACCTTCATCGCCTTGCAAAACCCACTTGGTCTATTATTTATGAAAACAACGGCACGGTGAAACAATTGCATTAGCAGATTCCCCCTGTAGTATTGGCGTGTGAGGCATCTTATAATTATTGCAAGACAATCACACTCTTGGGGGACAAAGGCTGAGAGGAAAATGAATGGCATGTTTTTTTGCCGGGGCTGGTGGCAAAAGAAGTGGAGTGCCAATGCATAACTTAGCACCGTAATAATGCCACTTGGCTCACATAAATTTTAAATGATGCATACGTCTTGTTTCAGTTTAGCTGCATTTTGCTCTCTCTCTCCAAAGAGTGTAAAACAGTCACAGAAACTCCCTGTGGTGTCTATGGAAGGGTCATTCACCTCTTCCCATTAGCAGGCCCAGAATGGTTTGGGGTTTTTAAAAACAACAACCACCTTAGGTAAAGGCAAAGGTAAAGGGACCCCTGACCATTAGGTCCAGTCGTGGCCGACTCTGGGGTTGCAGTGCTCATCTCGCTTTATTGGCCGAGGGAGCCGGCGTACAGCTTCCGGGTCATGTGGCCAGCATGACTAAGCCGCTTCTGGCGAACCAGAGCAGTGCACCGAAACACTGTTTACCTTCCCGCAGGAGCGGTACCTATTTATCTACTTGCACTTTGACGTGCTTTCAGACTGCTAGGTGAGCAGGAGCTGGGACCGAGCAATGGGAGCTCACCCCGTCGCGGGGATTCGAACAGCCGACCTTCTGATCGGCAAGCCCTAGACTCTGTGGTTTAACCCACAGCACCACCCGGGTCCTTTGTTAAAATAACATCAGAAAAGCCCTGCTGAATCAGGTCAATGGCCAACCTAGCCTGGCATCCTGTTCTCACAGTGACCACCCAGATACCCTAATGGGAAACCAACAAGCAATAACTGAGTGCAACAGCCCTCTCCTTACTTGTCAACTTGTATTCAGAGGGACACTGCAACCAACACCGGAGGCAGAACTCAGCCATCATGGTAGCAACCATTTGTCACAGTCTGGTCTACGGGCAATCGAAGTCCCGGCTGAGGATGTCGGGACTGGGGGCAAGATGGCAGGGGGGGAGCAGGAACGAGAGTCCAGAAGCCAGGGGTTCGAGGGTCAGGAAGCAGGGAGTCACAAAGTCAAGGGTCCGAGAGTTCAGAATCAAGGAGTCACAAAGTCAAGGATTCATGGGTCGAGAAGCAAGGAGTGAGGAAGCCGAGGTCTGAGGATCAGGAAGCAAGAAGCCAAATGCAGCAAGGCAGGAAACATGTTGCTGCGGTATAGAGCAGAAGGGAAATGCTAACCTTATATCCCTTCCTGGCTCTAGCCACCAGGTGCAGTGAGTTACCAAGCGGCCTCACCTGTGCAGCCGCGCATTAATAGCATGATCTCTCCATGACTTTGTCTAATTCTCTTTCAAAGGGGGCCAGAGGGAGTATATAAACCTGTGCAAATTCAAGAATGAGAAAGAGAACTAATGTTATCAGGTCTCTCTAGAGTAGATCTAAACATCCTTTCTGACCCTCTGACCATCTCCAGGAGACTCCCTCACAGTGTCCTACTGACATTGCCCAGAGCATCCAGTCCCTGCCCCACAACTCTTCTGGTGAGTGCAACTTAAATGTAACCAGGGGTGTATCAGAATGCCCACATCCTATTGGGGGGAGTGCTGGAGCTCTGTGGTAGAGCATCAGCTTTGCATGCAGAAGAATCAGGGTTCAATTCCCAGCATCTCCAGCTATGCCTGGGGGAAATTCTGTGCCTGGAAGCTTCTGGAGCACTGCTAGCAGTGAGTATCATCAATATTGCACTAGATGGACCAGTGGTCTGACCCAAAACAACAACAACAACAACATTTTTTTATTTATACCCCCCCATCTAGTTGAGTTTCCCCACCCACTCTGGGTGGTTCCCAATCATGTGTTAAAAACAATACAGCATTGAACATTAAAAACTTCCCTAAACAGGGCTGCCTTCAGATGTCTTTTAAAGATAAGATAGCTGCTTATTTCCTTCACATCTGAAGGGAGGGCGTTTCACAGGGCGGGCGCCACTACCAAGAAGGCCCTCTGTCTGGTTCCCTGTAACCTCACTTCTCACAATGAGGGAACCACCAGAAGGCCCTCGGCGCTGGATCTCTGTATCTAGGCTGAACGATGGGGGTGGAGACACTCCTTCAGGTATACAGGACCGAGACTAATTCCTCTTTATATTCACACACTCAGATGCAATTTTTTCATAATGTACACATTTTTGCCAATCGATGTTCACTAATATAATGCATTTTATATTTTAGATTATTCTTATGCATGCTTTGGCACAATATATGCATTTCCCCCCCCTGCACATTACTTAGCTAGAGAGCCATATCGCAACATTCAGAAAGGTATAAATTTCAAAGTATAACTGTTTTGGTTACCATATTGTTTTAGCAAGTGTGGATTAGGGAGGTTCCTATCTTAGGAGAAATAAAAATAAATAAAAAATTGTCCAGTAGCACCTTATAGACCAACTAAGTTTGTTCTGGTATAAGCTTTCGTGTGCATGCACAGAATCTGAAGAAGTGTGCAGGCACATGAAGGCTTATACCAGAACAAACTTAGTTGGTCTCTAAGGTGCTACTGGACAATTTTTTATTTTTTATTTTTGATTTCAACTGTGTCAGACCAACACGGCTACCTACCTGATCCTATCTTAGGAGGATCTCCTCCTGGAACCTTATTAATTAACTTGCCTATTGACATAATTACTACATTCAAAGCATTTAAGAAACCAGCCTTTAGCATTGCTCTGTTTATTATCACTATCTGCTGATGTCTGTGGTCATCCTCCATCCTTCTGGATCATAGGATGTATCAAGCCTCAGTCCTGACGATCACTTATCTTTTTTTTTTTTAATAATTTTTATTAAAGTTTTAAACAACAAAAGAAAAAAAAGAATAAAACACAAAAATAAAGCACAAAAAACAATACAAAACTCAACAATAAAAAACAAAAAGCATAACAATTAAAAACAAACTCTCTTTTCCATTTCCAATTTTAAATTACTTATTTTCTGGACTTCCTCATACCTCCCTCTTTTGTATTCCAATCCACATTATTTGTCCAGCAGTTTCTTTTCCACTTTTTAATCCCAATCTTTAATTTAATAAAATGTTAAAATATATAACTTCAACTTTTTTAAACCTAATCCTTGATCTTAATATCATATAACGTTAAAATTTTCCCTTTTAATATCAAATTTCCATTTCTTTAAACATCTTTAATCTTGATCTTTAATCTTAATCTATCATTAACTTTAACCTGTGCAGCTGGAAACCACTTACTTTCAGTCCAACATCCCTTTAACATTCCTTAATTTTGCAATGTTTCTGAAGATAGTCTTTGAATTTCTTCCAGTCTTCCTCCATCGACTCTTCTCCCTGGTCACGGATTCTACCAGTCATTTCCGCCAATTCCATATAGTCCATAAGTTTCATCTGCCATTCCTCCAGTGTGGGAAGTTCTTGTGTCTTCCAATACTTTGCGATGAGTATTCTTGCTGCTGTTGTTGCATACATAAAGAAAGTACTATCCTTTTTAACACCATTTGGCCGGCTATGCCCAGGAGAAAGGCCTCTGGTTTCTTAGGAAGGTATACTTAAATACCTTTTTAATTCATTATATATCATTTCCCAGAAAGCCTTAATCTTTGGGCACGTCCACCAAAGGTGAAAAAATGTACCTTCAGTTTCTTTACATTTCCAACATTTGTTATCGGGCAAGTGATAGATTTTCGCAAGCTTGACTGGGGTTATGTACCACCTGTATATCATTTTCATAATATTCTCTCTTAAGGCATTACATGCCGTAAATTTCATACCTGTGGTCCATAACTGTTCCCAGTCAGCAAACATAATGTTATGTCCAACGTCCTGTGCCCATTTAATCATAGCCGATTTTACCGTTTCATCTTGAGTATTCCATTTCAGCAGCAAGTTATACATTCTTGACAAATTCTTAGTCTTGGGTTCTAACAATTCTGTTTCTAATTTGGATCTTTCCACCTGGAAGCCAATTTTCCTGTCCAATTTAAATACCTCCATTATCTGATAATAATGAAGCCAGTCTCGCACTTTGTTTTTAGTTTTCAAAACTCTGCAATTTCAGTCTATCTCCGTCTTGTTCCAAAATTTCCCAATATTTCGGCCATTTGACCTCCATATTGACCTTTTTCAAGGCTTTCGCTTCCATTGGTGACAGCCACCTTGGGGTTTTGTTTTCTAACAAATCCTTATATCTTATCCAAACATTAAACAGCGCTTTCCTGACAATGTGGTTTTTAAATGCTTTATGTGCTTTGACCTTATCATACCATAAATATGCATGCCATCCAAATACATTGTTAAAACCTTCTAGGTCCAAAATGTCAGTGTTTTCAAGAAGTAGCCATTCTTTCAACCAGCAAAAAGCTGCTGATTCATAGTAAAGTTTGAGGTCTGGCAGGGCAAATCCACCTCTTTCCTTTGCATCCGTTAGTATTTTAAATTTTATTCTGGGTTTCTTGCCCTGCCAGACAAATTTAGAAATATCTTTCTGCCACCTCTTGAAACAATCCATTTTGTCCACGATCTGCAAAGTTTGAAACAAAAACAACATTCTAGGCAATACATTCATTTTTATCGCAGCAATACGGCCTAGCAGTGAAAGCTTCAAATTTGACCAAATTTCTAAATCTTTTTCACTTCTGACCAACATTTTTCATAGTTATCTTTAAATAAATTCCCATTTTTTGCTGTCATGTTAATCCCCAGGTATTTAACTTTCTTAACCACTGTTAAACCTGTCTCATTCTGAAACCTCTCTCTTTCAAACGGTGTTAAATTTTTCTCTAGAACCTTGGTTTTTGACTTGTTCAATTTAAATCCTGCCACTTGACCAAATTCTTGAATCAGTTCTAAAACCCTTTTAGTACTAGATTCTGGCTCCTGTAACGTCAATACTAAGTCATCTGCAAATGCTCTCAATTTATAGTGTTTAGTTCCGACCTGTATACCTTTAACCATCTGGTCCCTTCTAATCATATTCAGCAGAACCTCCAGGACCGAAATAAAAAGAAGTGGGGAAATTGGGCAACCTTGTCGTGTCCCTTTTTCAATTTTAAGTTCTTCCGTCACAACATTATTTACAATTAGTTTAGCCTTTTGTTCTGAATAAATTGCACTTATACCATTCTCAAAACCTTGGCCTACCCCCATACCCTGTAGATTCTTCTTCATAAAATTCCAAGAAATATTGTCAAAGGCTTTCTCCGCGTCTACAAATATCAACACTGCTTTAGTGTTTATATTCACTTCTAATTTTTCCAAGATATCAATTATATTCCTCAAATTGTCAGACAAATGTCTTCCTGGGAGAAAGCCCGCTTGGTCTTTGTGAATCTCTTCCATCAACACTTTTCTAAATCTCTTCGCCAAAATATCTGCAAAAATTTTGTAATCCACATTAAGTAATGATATAGGGCGGTAGTTCTTAAGTTGTGTCTTTTCAGTCTCTGTTTTTGGTACAAGTGTAATATATGCTTCTTTCCACGACTCTGGTGCCCTCTTCCCCTCCATTATTTCGTTGCAGACATCTTTCAATGGTTGAATTAACCATTCTTTTAAAGATCTGTAGTATCTAGAGGTCAAGCCATCTGGTCCTGGAGATTTACCCAGTTCTGACGATCACTTATCAAATCTGTTCTCTTTGCATGCCATCTCTGTGACCCTCAGCTGACTCTGTGGCTTGCAAAGCAAAAGATAATTCAAGTAACAGAGTTTTCATTTAACTCAGCATTATTTAACATGGTATTCCCTCGAGGGCATGTGTGTATGTGTGCAGGAGGTGCTCTGACTTTTTCCAATGGTGAGAGAGATTATGCTGCTTATGTCTCTGTTTCCATTTAATGATTAAACTCTAGTAGTTAATCAAAGGAAATTATATTGTAGCAGGAAACCAGAAATGGCTAAGTGGGTTGGAAAGGAGATTTTTTTTTTTTGGAAAACAAAACAAAAACTAGTTCAAATATATGTTGGAAGTGTAAGGAAAAGGAGGGGACATTTTATCATATGTGGTGGGATTGTAAGGTAATTAAAAAAAATTGGGAAATGATATACAATGAATTGAAGAAAATGTTCCATTTAACATTTGTTTAAAAACCTGAAGCATTTTTATTAGATTGTAGGGAAAGAGCTGACAAAAAAGCTGAAAAACATCTTCATGTATGCGACAACGACCACGAGAGTTCTGGTAGCACAAGGATGGAAGACTGAAGAAACCCCAACTAAAGAATCATGGCAAGAAAAATTGATGGACTATGCAGAACTGGCAAAACTGACATACAAGCTACGGGACAAGGATAACTGTGATTTTAAAGATGAATGGGAACCCTTTACAAAGTATTTGAAGACACAACAAAGCGAACTGGACTCCTTGGCTGGTTTTGAATAAACATTCACAAACTTTTTATTGATAATCATCAGCTAAATAGTTTGAGGATCTATACAACTGTGTAACATGCAGAAAACAGCATTTTTAGAGAAATCAAAGACTGGAACTGAGGGAAGTTGGGGGGTGGGGGGGGTTCTGGGGGGGAGGGGAGGGGGAGGAAAAATGGGGGGAATAAGGATGATATGTTTCTGGATAATATGTTTTGTTTTAATTTTGAATAAAAAAGTTATTAAAAAAAGGGAAAAAAGAAAGAAAAGGAGATTATATTTTTTTTAAAAAGCAAGCATATGTGACATCTGCCTGAGAAATTCCATATCCTGCTCTCCACCACCCCCCACCCCATCCCAAGGGCAAAGGATTTCCATGAAGTATCCAACAACCTGGTTGAATTGCCTCTCCTGGCACTTGGATGTTCATCATTTTAAATCCCCTTCATATAATATCAACAATTCAATGATGGTGCACTTCCTTGAGTGAAACATTCAGGCATAAGGATGATTCACTATGCTTCCCACAATACTTTTTGAACTTGAGAACACTGGCAGTTAAAGCTAGTGGTGACTCCTGTCCTATCAGAGTCCATGGAGAGACACCACCAGTTGGTATAGACAGTAGTCTTCAACTTTTTCAGATCCAGGACCAAGGGTGGCCAAATCTATCAATTTCAATTTCTCTCAATTTCTCATTTTTCCAACCTTAAGTACAGTTTTTCACACTACTACCATCTTTCCCCAAAAGTAAGACATCCCCTGAAAATAAGACCTCCCCGATAATGAGACCCTACCTGCCCACGGACTGTCTCGCTCGAGTGGTGCATGCTCTAGTTATCTCCCGCTTGGACTACTGCAATGCGCTCTACGTGGGGCTACCTTTGAAGGTGACTCGGAAACTACAACTAATCCAGAATGCGGCAGCTAGACTGGTGACTGGGGGCAGCCGCCGAGACCACATAACACCGGTCTTGAAAGACCTACATTGGCTCCCAGTACGTTTCCGAGCACAATTCAAAGTGCTGGTGTTGACCTTTAAAGCCCTAAACGGCCTCGGCCCAGTATACCTGAAGGAGCGTCTCCACCCCCCTCGTTCTGCCCGGACGCTGAGGTCCAGCGCCGAGGCCTTCTGGCGGTTCCCTCATTGCGAGAAGCAAAGCTACAGGG